AGGAATGAGCTTGACATCGAACTGTCCAAATTCAGCTGCTAGAGCTGAACACCAGGCTGACTGCAGCTCTCCTCTGCAGGAAAAGCTGGACTGTGGCCAGCCGGATGTTCACAGGTAGTTGGCACAAGGTTTGCAAAGTGTGATGCTCTCACTCATCAATTGACCAGAAAAGCTCAACTTTTTGGACATTCCATTCCAGTGTGATTTTTATCCCTTTTATATCTCTTAAAGTATTTTAGAAAAGCATCGGTCAGAGCCTAGTGACTGCTCGTCACTACAAAAGCAAAGAGAGCTTAAAATCATAGAATCATAGAATCAACCAGGTTGGAAGAGACCTCAAAGATCATCAAGTCCAACCCTACCGTGGTTACCAGACCATGGCACTAAGTGCCACATCCAGTCTCGTCTTGAAAACCTCCAAAGATGGTGAATCCACCACCTCCCTGAGCAGCACATTCCAATGTCTGATCACTCTCTCTGTAAAAATCTCTTCCTAATATCCAGCCTAACCGTCCTCTGGCAGAGCTTGAGTCTGTGCCCTCTTGTCCTGCTGCTGGTTGCCTGGGAGAAGAGACCAACCCCCACCTGACTCCAACCTCCTGTCAGGGAGTTGTAGAGGGTGATAAGGTCTCCCCTGAGCCTCCTCTTCTCCAGGCTTCCTCTACTTAAAGTTTACAGTTCTCAGTAGTATGTTATAGGAAGCTGCAGAGCAATCAAATGAGAACAGAATAATTAATAAATTTGCTTCATAAAATGATTAAAGCAAATGTAAAGAAGTTCCAGCAATCTCTTAGTGCATAAAGAGAAGGGCAAGCAATTTCTTTTGAGTTTTGCTTGGTAAACTCATTTGGAGCATCTGTAATTTAAAATAATCCTGAGATTTAAATAACTTTGCAGCCACTGCCTTTACATTATGCCAAGTTCAGTCGCAGAAAGGTGGCTGCAGCTCTCACTCTTCATTTTTCCAGACAAATTGACACAATGCTTTCTTTGGTTTTCTTTGGGTGATAACCCTCAGCAAGCCTTTATTTTTCCAAACCTTGTCCATGGCCCCTCTTAGCCTGCAAGTACAAAGTGAGCGAGGGTTCTTTCCATACTAATGATAAAGAGTGCTCATTCTCTCAGTTGCCTTTGGTGCAATCTGTTTCAAAGGCTGAGACTGATGATGCCTCAGAACAGTGTAGGAGGGCTGCCTGAGTGTGACTGAGCCACAGAGTTAAAAAAACATAAAATCTAGAAAAATGATAGATTCATTTCAAATAGAAAATAAGATTCAGGGAAGCCATGGCTTGTCTAAAGCAAAACAAAACAAAACAAGCCAGCAAAGTTTATTGTCTAGATTATTAATTGTACCTGATAGTTTAGCTGCCCCGAAAATGTCTCTTTAATCATTCAGTGAGTCTGAAGCTTTGGTCTCCAGAGATCATGGTCTGATCTCTCACATATGGTATATCGCACCGTTCATTAGACCCACTGGTCCAGTCACATGGAAATGATGTTCAGACTATTTCTATCTGTATCTGCTGCTTTTCTTCCTGAATGTGTCAGTCTCATGATGAGGGCAGTGACTCCAGCTGATACAGACACAATTGCTGATTGCAAAGAGAGACACTGCTGTGAAAATAAAGAGAATGGGGGGTTATTTCCGTCATGGTTCAGGCTTTGCAAAGCATTTCTGCCCTACAGAACTACAAATTCCCTTGTGGGAATCACACCTGAGATCACAGGTGTTGATCAGTGAAAAGAGGATGAGTGACCCTGGGGATAAGCTCCAGGACTGGGGTGTTTAAAACTTGGGCTCTAACCCGGGAGGAATGAAAACTTTTCATCGGTGTCAGGGGATTCAGTTCTCAGCTCTCAGCACCATGCCATTCAAAAGCCTGCCTGCTTCCTTTTGGTGGTGAGATGGGAACAGGGACTTGCTTTGCACAGTGGGAAGCAAGATTTCTTGCTCTTCCCTCTAAATATTTGATGCTGGCAGTAGAGAAGTGAGGAACAAGGCAGTCTTATCCAGAATGGCTGTGAGCCAGTCAGGGATGGCTCCTGCTGGAGGGACAGAGCTCAGATGGAGCCCAGCTAAGGATGCAACAAGCTCATGTTCAGGAGTCTGTCTCCAGCCACACATGCACAAGGTTCAGTACCAGTGGCTACCAGCAGAAACCAGGTCAAGGGATTCCCAAGCAGCACAGAGAACTTGCCAGGGGACCCCAGAATGTCACATCCAACTCCTCAGCCTGGTTGGGGAGTGCGGGCAAGTGATGTGTGAAGTGTTGAGTCAGTATAAATGTCACAGCCAAAGGTCTTCAGAGTCAGAGTGACAACAGAAGGAGACACAAGTCCCAGGAGTTCTGATACAGGAAAAACGCTGTCACTGCCATCACCTCTGGCTTGGAGATTTATTGATGGTAACTTGGGATGTGCCATAAACAGGGGTGATATTAAATGAGTCTGACTGTCTCAGGGGCTAAGTTTTACAACCCAAAGTGTGAACTCTCTCTGTCTCACTGAGATCCTGAGGCATTTTTCCTGCAGCTCCCACGATCTCATTAAGTGCTCTCCAGAGAAGGGCTCCAACCCAGGAGAGCCCTCCCTGCACAGCACAGCACCAGCTGCTGAGGACAGACACAGATATCTGCCAGGGAACCCAGCATTCACTCCTGATGGAGACCTCCCAGGGCACTACCACTGCCTCACTGGGCACACAGCCTTCCCCACTACAGCTTTGTGAGGAAACCAGAAGTTGCCACACAGGTGTCCCCAAGTACCAACACACTCCCAGTGTCAGAGGCTCTGACCTCAGTGTCAGCAGCTCATGCCCCAGGACAAACCTCCCTGTGGCTGTGCTGTGACTGCACTGAACCTTAGTGAACCTTTGCTGAGATGCCTTCTCAGAGTGGTTTCTGCAGCTTCAGAGGTCAAACCCATGTCTTCCTTCAGGAGTCATTTGCCACAAAGGGAGTGCTGTCATGCAAAGGCTTTCCTTCTGCTCCATGAATGCATCTGGAGCTGCTAATGCCCCTTTCTGTTGAGGGGTTCCCATGTTAAGATAACATATTTTATGCCAGAAACAGCAAAATCTTCAGTAAAGCTCTGAGGATACTGATTGATTCTTCTGTGTCATTTCTGCCTGTCAAAGGGGAAGTAGGTCTATGGAGATAAAGTGCAGAGCTCCCCATGGCTACAAGTCCTGTTCTTCACATGTCAAAGGGGAAGTAGGTCTATGGAGATCAAGGGCAGAGCTCCCCATGGCCACAAGTCCTGTTCTTCACAGGTTCCTTCACCAACCGACTGGCCCTGGGGGAAAATTATCTCGTCCAGGGAGCTTGCAGCTTATCTTGGGGAAAAAGGTTTATTTTTGGTGACATTCCTGAGAAACCTTGTCCCTCTGTCCTCATGACCTTTCTCTCTGCTCCTCCAGTCTGCTCGCAGTTCTCCAAGGGCGTCTATGCCATCTTTGGATTTTATGAGAGGAGGACTGTCAACATGCTCACATCTTTCTGCGGGGCTCTCCACGTCTGCTTCATAACACCAAGCTTCCCAGTTGAAACCTCCAACCAGTTTGTTCTTCAGCTTCGCCCAGAGCTCCAGGATGCCCTCATCAGTGTCATCGAGCACTACAGCTGGCAGAAGTTTGTGTACATTTATGATGCTGACCGAGGTAAGTCACAAGTTTATAGGAGGGTTACCAGGCAGTTAAGCATAGGGCTCTAGATGGAGTCTTTGCCTCCAGAAGTCCTCACTGTGGGTTGCTGGAGGCTCAGAGGGTGGCTAAAGGAAGGGTCACCCTATGCCTTCTCTGTTCTGTATTCCTTTGCTAAATATTCATTTCTGCTGAAGGTGGGTGTTATGTAGATGAAGCATTAGCTTGACCAAGTGTGTCTGTGTTCATGGGGTTGGGTCTGAGCCTTATCAACATGAGGGAAATACTTGATGTGTAAATGGCTTTAGTGTGAAACTGAAAAAAATTGTTTATATTCAATAGGTCCCATACTGAACAGGTCTGTTGACCTGGTCTGGTTCTTGGAAGTTCTTGGAAGATAGATACTATCTAACTTTCTGAAGGATGAACAAGTCTAGTGAGCTCATTGCTCTGTGATTCAGTTTCCTCAGCTCTCAGATGCCTTTAAAGATCCAGGCTTGGATGCTGAAGGCAAAGTGGAATTGTGGAGGACAGGGCAGAAGTAAGGGTGATTCACAGCTCTGCTCTGGAAGTTATCATTATCCCTTGAAGGGACAGGATGAGCTTTACAGACAAGGATAAGGTATAAAAGCATCCCACCTGCTTTTTGTTGTCACGAGGCATGGGCACACTGAATATCCTGAAAGGACTGCAGTAGGTAGGGTTGTCTAGCAGGATTCCAGTGCAGTGCTATGTATATCTCCTCTGGAAGGTTATGCACGTAATTTAGGCAATATAATTTTTAAAATAATGGATTTCTGATGAGTGCACGTAATTTAGGCAATATAATTTTTTTAATAATGGATTTCTGATGATGTGCTGCTGGAAGAGAGAAGGATGCTGAGTATGTTTGTGTGCTGTGATTGCTGAGGGTGGCCCTGACCCTAGGAGCATACAGCCTAAACAGATCAAAGATGAGAAGGAAACTATGGCCGAGAGAAATCAAGTGATTTGGGTAGTGACAGACAGGAAGATGAGGATTAGAGCTCTTATCTGAATCCCACAGCAGGGCCAGATCAACGAGACTGATCTGCTGATTACAAAGTAAAACAAGGTCTGGAATAATCTGTGCCAGGACAGAAAAAGTAGAAGTCATTAATTCTAGCCCAGCTGAGCCTGGGTAAGATCTAGACTATTAGCTGCTCTCTGTAGTTCTGCTGCACTCTTGCGACTCTGTCTCCAGCCTGGCTCGAGGCAGCTACACAGGCTGTCAGGAGGATGGCAAGATGTCATTGCACAACTAAAACTTGTCTCTCCCCCCTGTCTTCCCATTGTAGGGTTGTCAGTCCTACAGAAAGTGCTGGACACTGCAGCTGAGAAGAACTGGCAGGTGACAGCTGTCAACATCCTGACGACAACAGAAGAGGGTTACCGCGTGCTCTTCCAGGAGCTGGAGAAGAAGAAGGAAAGGCTGGTGGTGGTGGACTGTGAAACTGAGCGGCTGAACATCATCCTTAACAAGGTTGTGTTGGTGTGGGCCTCCTGGGAGGGGTCTTGCCCATGGGATGGGAAGGGCTTTTTCTCCTGGAGAAGCTCTCGTCCCCATTCTTGCCTGATTCATGTCTCATTGTGTCTCTCATTGGGTGTGGTATGTGTGCATTGCAGCAGGCTGCCCAATTTGTAGCTATTTCTCCCTTGTGTTATTGTGGAAACTGTAAAGTTGCATAAATACTAGGAACTCTCACGTATTCATGCTGAGTGAGCTCCGCTGCTCCATCTTCCCTACTGATTCGACTTCTTTGCTGAGCCCTTTACACCCCTTTACTCCCCAACGAGTTTACTTTGTGCTAATTCCTCCAAGCAGCATGCATAAGACATGGCACCTTCTGATTCTGCTGAGTTTTCCTTCAGTTTTCCCACCTCCTGTGAGTTAGGGTGGAGGTGTGAATTGGCACTGCCAGACTCCTGGCGCTCCAGCCTCCATGTGCTGCACCAAATTCTCACACCTGTGCCAGCAGGGCAGAGATGGAGAAGCTTTATGGTACCTCTGTAACAGGAGCACTGTCTTCAGGTCAGGCTAGAGCTCACAATCAATCCTCCCAGGGCTTTCAGGCTGTAGCAGGATTGGATGTTTCCAGCTCCTCTCATGCCTTGCAGTGAAAGACATGTTCATTCAGAGCCATCTCCTGGATGTTTTGTCAGCTCACGGCTACATGCCAATGGGATATGCAACAGAGGACTCAGCAGCTAGATTGTGTGCTCTGCCTTACTCATCCTTAATCCATGTAGGTCACCCAGTAGCACAGACCCAAGTTTTCCCCATCTTCTTTGCTCCAGGCCTCTCTTAATGCTTTCCCTCAGTCCTGAATGTGGACTTCTGTGAACAGGAGTCCAATGCAAGCCCATGGACTGGTCTCAGTCCACACTTGTGTCCCCTCTTTGACTCCAGCCACGATACCTTTCCCTCTCACACCTACAGCCAAGTCCTTTCCCACCACTGGGACTTTGGTCCCACCTGGCTTAGTAAGGGCTCTGCAGTGCACTGTGACTCCCACTTTGTACTCCTCATAATCAGCTCACTCTTACCTCGTGCTTCACACGTTGCCTTGTCTAAGGTACCTGTCATCTCCCGTCTCACACTTCAGCTGCTCACTGTCTGGGGCAGGGACTGACATTTCACCAGCTGCACAGCTCAGCAACGAGTACAATCCATCTTTGTTGGATGTCTCTGGGTGCTACTCTGTTATATGTAATAACAAAGCAGATAGTGGGGTTTAACCTCAAAGTAAAGGTCACATTCATGAAAGAGAAAACAGATTATTCCAGAGAGTAAAGTCCTCTCTCTGCCCATGGAGCAGCTGCTGTTGAACAAAATTTTTGACAGGACCTAGGCAGTGAATTAGACTTTTATGCAGGTTTTCCTACAGGTGTATTTAGGGTTAATAGTCTTGGCTTTTTTAACCTAGTTTGTCTAACAGAAAGTTTAGTTCTGCAGACGAATATGATTTAGTTTTCCTAACATGAACAGGAAAATAAGTCTTTCTTTTAAACTTCTTCAGATAACTGGAGCAAGAGTTAAACTTAGATATAAGAAAAGCTAATTGTAAGAACACTAAAAATCCAGATCTTGTGATTATGTGTTTTGCAATGCTATACAAAAGATCAGTTCCCAGAGAAAAGAGGTACAATGCTGTGTTTTCCTACAGTAAAGATGGAGCAATTCCAACAGACATCTGTGCCTGGGAGGTAACACTCCAGTGAGGAGTAGGGCTGCAAACAACTTTTTCAGACCTGTGTAGTCCATTTTCATCCTTTTTTGCATTCTTGTTGCAAGTCCACTGGGATTTCTGAGAACAGAGGTAGTTATCCCAGTGTGAGCAGGGGATGCCAGGTCAGTCACAGCATGCAGATGACCGGAGGGATTCAAAGAGAGAGTTCAGCTCATTATCATGTGAAATTCACCTGGGACTAACTTGGCCTGCCTGCTGGTCTCTCAACTCACTGCACCAGCAGCCTCTGTGGGGATGTCACGGCACTGTTTGCCCTGTATCTCAGAGCTCTGAGGTGTTCAAAGAGCTGCCTCAGTCTCTTGGGGACATTTCAATGCATTTATCTTCGTCCCTGACAAGCCTGTCTCTGTCTCTGGGTGGCTGTGGATTTGTGCTCCCTGGTGAACAGAAGAGCTGGGGATGGCTGTTTAGCATCAGTGCCTAACACATACACACACTGGTGCTTGCACACACTTCTCATTTCTTCTCTGTACACATAACCCAAATAGCACCAGTGACTGCAGCAAGGCAGTCCTCGCATTCTGGCAACCGTAGCTGTGGAGGACCCAGGGTTCCATGTGTTAATGAAACATGGGAAAATGACCTGATTTCGTTCTTGGAGATTTCTCTGTGTCAAGTCTCAAGGGCATGATTTATCTTTGCCAAGGTACCTGTCATTTGTGAGCCAGGGCAGCTTATCGAGGGGTTGCACTGTGTAGACTTAATGGGCTAAGTATGTGGTGGGTTGTGTTCAATCAAAGCCCTGTATTGTTTCTTCCTTGTCTCTCATTAAAATGAGTAACTGGAATTTCTCCTTTGCTAGTGTTTCACTCTGAGAGGATTTCTCTCTAATAGATGTCAAACTGGCCCATTAAGAAGTGGGTAATGAAACCTAGGTGGCCCAAGTGAGCTATCAGCATGCAGCCCGGCACAGCCTCTCAGCACGGTCAGGATAAGTGATAAATGCTATTATAACCTCAGCTTGCTACCGCTGTCCGGGCACATTAGGACTGAGCAAGCATTTTAAAATAAATTAAGACCACAAATAACTGCGTAAAACACAGGAAACAAGCCTCATAATTCAGGTGGATGGGGTGCAAGATTAACAGCTCAGGGAAAACTGGATGGCAGCCCTCTCCGGTTCATCGACTCCGACACCTAATAAAATAACAAAGGAGAGTTTGGGCTGAAGGAGCCAATGCCAGCTATTGTTGACACTGGAGAAAAGGGGAATTGGGTCGTAATTCTTAGATATCACAGTGCACTGGAGATTCTTCTTTCTCCCACAAGGGCTGGGACTTACTGCAAAGGTCAGTCTCAGTTGATGAATCGAAGGGGACAAGTTGTTTCTGGTTTTGCTTTTTAGATCTGGCAATGGAAGACACTCAGAAAATTAGACATAATAAGAGGTGTTTATCTTCATAGGTTTAGGTATAGGGAGTTGTTTTTCTTTCCTGAGAGCTCTAGACATCTGAGTAGAAGCCATACTGAGGCATCCTGTGCAGGGAGCCACAGGGCAGTGAAGCTGGTGGAACTGGCATTAGCTGTATAAGAAACTGCTTCTAAATGAAGCCTTCATTGGAGTTAATTGCCACCCCCCATTAATGCTGAGAACCAGATGAGTTTTATTATGCATCCAAGAGCACTTCATCAGAGAAGGGCTAAGGCAGATGAACCAGTTGTACAGAGCAAGTGTCAGTCAGCTCATTTATAATCCATTTGGAAATCCTTAAATGACTGCTCATGATAATCTGGGAGTGCTGTCCCATGGGGAGGATCAGTCTCTGCCCTCATCTGACACCTGCTGCCAGCCTGGTATCAGAGAGAAGTCCTGGGTGGACTGATTTCTGGTTGAGTCCAGCACAGCAGTTATTTTATGATCATTCTGGCTGTGAGGATCTTTCTAGCCTTGCTGCAGTTTGTGCAGATTTTGCCTGAGCATTGGCAATGCAGACTGCAATTCAGAATCAATTCGTACGACAATGGAAATAAGAGGTAGGACTGCCAGCAAGGAAACTTTATGGAAGCAACACAGTTCTCTCAGAAACTGGCAAGTCTTGTGTTTGTACAGGTTTTGAGGACGTTGGTTTGGGCTTTTTTTTTTTTCCACAGGCTTCTTTCTGTACGTAGAGTGGCTCAAATGTAGATTGTATCTGACTCTAGTTACCTAGTAAGAATTTAACAGTGGTGCTGGAAATCAGTAAAGAGGAATTTCAGTGGAAACATGGAGTCAGCAAAAATAATGGAATTTTTAGCTGTATTCTTTCTGCACTTTTTATAAACCAAGGGTGGAAAAGACGGGGACCATCTGATCAGTGCCTCTGTTCCCCCCAATCACAGGCAAAGCTGCAACAGGTGGAAAGGCAAAATAAAAAGGGAAAATTTTCCAGCTAGCATAGAAAAATTCAGTTGTTACAGTTTGGTAAGCAATTGTGTTGATAAAAGAGAATAACAACCTGACTCTGCAGGCATCAGGGAGAAAGGAGTGAGTGGCAAAGCTCATATATTGGAAAACCATGAATATGAAGATATAAATAATCTCAATGAACAGGCAAGGGAATCCTCTGTGGCTTGCCCAGGCAGCTTTGTTCTGGAGATCTAGTTTGAAGCTAACCCAATGCACTAGAGGACAAACTTTGTGTTTGTCCAAACCAGCCACCCACATTGTTCCTTTGGTGTCTGAAATACTGATCTTGTTCAACCTCGTTGTTTTTTTTAAATAAACAACCACTGTTTCTTCTTCCTCTGATCCCATAGGAGACAGGTTGGTTTGGTTGTTTAGTCTCTCTGCCTGCAGAATCTTCTTGGGGATCTTTTCTGGTCTAATTTCAGACTTGCTGCTCAAATATCATGTGTGAAAGCTTTGTCCATCCCCTAACAAGACTGTGAACTTTTGCTGTGTCTTTCTGCCCACAGCTGAACAGTCTCATCAAGGAAAAAGTAGAAGAAGGAGGGGCAAATAACTGAAACTCTTCTTCCTTAGCTGATCTCTGCTAATTATCCTTAGCTGATCTCTGCTAATTATCCTTGGTTTTTATCTTACAGATCATCAAGCTTGAAAAAAATGGGAATGGGTATCACTACATTCTGGCAAATATGGTGAGTTGCCCTCATTGGCAAATCTTTTTACTATCTCATATTTTTGTAAAGCACTACATTTGTAATTACTGAACTGGACATCCTTTTTATCATCCACTTTTTAGGTAAAAAAACCAGAACCAAATTTCTTTGCTTTGTTCTCCTTGTGGAGTTTTCTCTCTTGAGACAGCAAGATTATTTGCAGGGTATCTCCAAGTGTGCTGAGGTTTTGTGGTGGTTTGACCTTGGCTGGGTAACAGATGCCCACCAAAGCTACTCTATCACTTCCCTCTTGGTTCTAAATGAGATCTGACTGTCATGGGTCTAAGAAAAGAATTGGATGTAAAGATTTCTTTAAGGAAGGAATTCTCCCTTTAATGCAGGGAGTTGCTGCCTGAGGACAGAACAGTATTGGGCACCAGCAGGTCCATCTTTCTTCAGCAATATACTGTCCTCTTCTAGGAGGATGGAAAATTTCTCTGCCTAGGGAGAACTGCGAAGACATAAGAGAGAGGAATAGCCTCAATCCATAGGGCAGCTGGAGGTTTTCCACAGCAGATCTCCTCCTCTCTCCTCCCCAGATGTGTCCATCCATCCAGGGGGATGCACAGCAGAGGATGAGCTGGTGTTGGCAGGCTGGGGCTGAGGCTGTTCCCCCTGGGATCCCTGTGTCCATGGGGGTGAGCCATGTGCAGGCTCTGTACCTCTTCTTCCCACACAGAGCTGCATCTCTGAGGCAACATGTCAGCCCTGGGGTAATTAAACTTTAAACTACCAATTAGTCAAACAGTTGCTGCCCTTCTCCTTCTCTCAGTCCCAAGATAACTCTGTAATTTACAAGGCAAAAATGGCCACATCATTACCCTGTGATGCCCTGTACTGACCCTGCTCTCTGTGCTGGGCACCTACCGTGTAATTACAAAGATAAAACTGTTACGTTGTGCAGGGGAAGATGTGCAAAACCATAGAGCAGCCAATAACTTCAGTTGCTAATTTTTTTAATATTATTATTTGCTGTAACCCTGGTCTTGGATGTTTATGAAAGTCCTTTCATTAAACAGGGAAGTGAGCTGGAGTCACTGGAGTGTGTGTGTCCATGCACTTTTGTGCATACCCACACAGGAGGCTGAATGAGAATATCACCTCTTCTCTCCATATGATTTCATAAGGATAAATGCATTAAAGGCAGGAGGTGAACTAAGACTCAGGTGCTGGAGTTTTGAAGGACATTTCCCTCTGTCTTATGATGCCACACTTTCCCACTTTGAGCTGGAGAAAGTACACTTGTCCCATCTTTAATGTGTTTTCTCAGCCTTTGCACAAACCCTAAGAGGACAGAGCTGGCTGGAAGAGGTTGCATACTCAGCCAACAAGGGTTATAAATAATTAACTTGGAGCAAAAGGCTTTTCATTTCCCAACCCCTCTGCAGGGAGATTCTGCCTCCTGCTGCAGCTCACTGGAGAAGGCTTTGGGTCTCACAGTGCCTGACAGAACCACCAGAATCCAGTGTTACTAGCTGTGCTTTTGAAGCAGCTTGGATTTGAGGCAGCAGAAAAAGAGTGAAAGGAATTCAAACTTTCCCTTTGGTCTTTCCTGCTCCTTAAAACCTAACATTGCACAAGAGCTAAACTCCAGAGAGAGGGATATTTAAAAAAAAAAAAAAAAGTAGGGGATAATCAGACAACATGGGAAAACTTTTTACAAAATAAGCCTGTCACCCCTCAAGGTTAAGAAGGCACTTTCCAGGGCAGAAGCAGCTTTGTGATTTTGCTGTGCACGTGGGCAGGTTCAGGCACCAGAAGGCAAATCAGTTTCCATGTGCTGCACCCACACAAGAGCTACTGGCTGATCAGCTCAGCCGAGAGAATGGCTAAAAGGCCTTGGAGATCGCATGTTCCTGAGACTGTATGGCAACAAGGAAGGACAGCAAGCCTCTCAATGTGGGGATGGCCAGGGGTGTTACAAGGGATTGGCAGAATGTGGCTATTTGTTGTCTGGCAGAGTTAAACCATAGTGCAGATGCTCTGATCTAAGAGATCACAGTAGGTTTTACCCTCATCTAAGGACATCTTCGTCGCTGGATTAGAGTTTTCAGAGGGTGTAATGTGCTGTAATTTATTCCCACTGACTCATACACATAGTGGTAGACCTTAAACACTCCACATTTTCCCCTGCAGACACGTCCTAAGATGACAGGGCTTGCATTGCCCACACACACACGTACCCTCGTGCACACCCGCACGCCTCGAAAACAGCCCTGGTTTGTGGAAGTGGCTCATTCTGGAGCACTGAGTTGTCAGGGAATAAATTAAGAGCTAAAACCTGGAAGTGTCAGGTTTCCAAATGAGTTATTTTTTGGTCCCCTGTGCTCACTGATATCATCGTGAGTTTAGGGCTCTGATGCTGTATGAAGATAAGGTCAATGGAGTCCTCAGCTGGTTCATAGTCACCAAGTTCCCTGCACTAGCTGGAGCAACAGGATCAATCATCAGTACCTGCCTTTTGCCTAACCTTCTTGGGTATGGAAAAATGGGGACACAGTTATGTAAATGACACATTGGAAGCAAATATTGGGAAGTATTTCTGGATAACGCCATTTAAATTCTTGTTTTTAGCTATATGCTTGCTCAGACCTATACTCACCCAAAAAACAAGCAGCAGCACAATACTGCCAAGTTACAGCAGCTCCAAACTATTGTAAGATCATGAATGCAAAGCAAGTGCAATGCACAGGCTGAATAAAGGTCTTCTAAAATTATCCATGGGTGCATTTTGGACATGGAGAAATTCCCTGTCTGGTCACAGAAAATCCATGAGCAAAGAGGCTTTTCCTTGCATTAATCACTGTGTATTTGCCCAGTGGTTGCTGTTGGTGAGATGTAGTAAAGCACCGAGCAGAATTTGACAAGTAGCAGCAAATGAAAACTGGTATTTCCTAGCAGGAACAGCTTTCTTTTTTTTTCAGTGAAATTGCTGTTGCCAAGGTGAGACAATAATATTTCTGTGTTCACAAACAAAATTAAACCATTCTGCACCTTAGGCCATGGGCAAACATCCTTCTCCAAACCTGCTATGCCTGCTAAAGACACAGCTTGTCTTGTCTGCCCAGCCCTGCCTGTCCCATGAAGGTCTGTCTGCAACATCCCTGCCAGGGGAAGGGTTTTTGTGAGCATCCCTGCCTCTCCTTGAAGCAAATTTGGCACTGTTCATGGATTTTGCAAACTCATGAAATCCTTATCTTCAACTGGTACCCATTAGAGTTACCCCAGTTAGCTTTAACCAGCTGGATATTGATCAGGTGTACCAGCACTGGGGGTTTGCAATCATCTCTCTTTCTCTCTCTCTCTCTTCCCCTCTGGAACTCAAAGAGATTTGGCAACTTTAAGAAGTGTTTGTTTTTGTGAGTTTTATTTTTCTAAGCTTTGTTCTCAGCCTTTTAGATCATCAGACTAGCAACCACAAAGGAAAAAAACCCACAGTCAATACTATCAGAAGAACAAGCTTAGAAACTTCTGGGATTCCTTTCTTTTGATGTTCAGGCTTTTTCCCCATAACCTTGGCTTTGTGCATCTGTTTGTCCTACACCATGGATGTGAGCTGACTGCTGTCAGTAGTGGAAGAACATCAGCTCTCTTGGGAAGAGAAAAATCTTTGCCTTAAAATAAGTGACATCCATGTGACCTGTCTTTAAGTGAAAAATATGAAAGACAGCTGCCACATACAGTGTTTTAGCCTTTTATTTTTTCTTTTCTGGCACATTAGTCCAGGTTGTTCTTTTAGAAAATGCTTTTTTTTTTCCAAAAGATGAATAAATAAGTGTATGAGATTGCTGATGCTAGGTGTATCAGGGAAAAGTAAGGATAAAAACTGTGTTGATTAGCAAAGACAAGCACTTTTTCTTGTGCCATTCTACATCAGTGTGTGTCAGCACTGAGTTAGGCTGTGGACTGTGTTTCCCTTTTGCAAGCAGTTATGATGGCACTGGAGGTTATGAGCACAGTAGCTTTGTCAGCAGAGTGGCTTGTGCAGAAGTCAAGCAAGATATCCTGATCTGATTCAGTTCACCTGTAGTTTGGATGGGCATCTTTGAATTTTTCCCTCTGAAAAATGGATGGGAGAACTTCTGCATCACCAGGGCTGAGACACAGTGACCAGCCTGACAGCTGGTGCAGACTGTGAAGAAGGATTTCATCACTTGCTGATTGGAATCTCTATTCTGTGGGAGTTTTCAAAAGGATGAGTACAGCATCAGCTTCTTGTCCTGGTAAGATCTCAAGATGTCTGGTCTTACAAAAATTATATTCTTATATTGGAAAAGAGATGTCTTAAGCTATTTTTAGGGTTCTAAAGTCATGCCAGACCTTTCCTCTTTCTGAGAGGTTGATGCAAGTAGGTTCATGAGACAGCTTGGTTTTCCATGCAGAGGAAGACAATATCATATATCAGTGAAACGTTTGAAACCTGCATTTCACTTCCAAACAGCTTTTCTGTCCTGTTTCAAAGATTATCAAGCAGAATAACCCCATCCAACATTATCTCATCTGAATTACTGATAGTAAAAGACACAGCGGTGCCCTGAATTAATTTTTGCTTGAACTAGAGTGTCTCATGTAAAGGAAAATTATGTGGTTTGATACAAAAATTGCCCACACAGGAGAATATGAACAGCAACCTTAGAGAATTTTTGCAGTAGTTAATGAGGGCTCAAAAACATGAGTGACTTACTGTGGCTAAAAAAAATCAGAGCATCGGGTTAGTAACTGACAGATTATATTACAACCATTGGAAGGAAAAATGTGTTTGCTTAAATTTCAGCAAAAGGGTGTTAAACTAGCAGGTTTCCTCAGCCATTTGCAGCCTCCTAATCCATTACCCCAGCCCAACTGGCAAGTGGTGATCTGTAAATCCATAGTGTCTTCCTCATGCTGTCTTCATCAGTGCTTTTTTTTCTACTCAAAACCTGCCTAGCTTCAGCTTCCTCCAGCAGATTTATGCTTCTGTCTTCTAGACCAAATATTTG